CCATCAGCAAGCCACATAATGTCCTTCTCCAGCGACTGGTCCCTCCTGACAATATGTCCAAAGGATGAGAGACCAAGCTTGGCCATCCTGGCCTCCAAGGAGTACTCTGGCTGCACTTCCTTCAACACAGATCTGTGATTCTTTTGGCACAATTGTGACACAGGAGACAGCAAGAAACAACTTATTGAAACTCAATGGCCTTAGGAAGATTTCCTTTTAGTGGGACAAGACATCCAATCTACAAGGAAATATAGAGTCCTGGTGTGGCACTGTAGGATAAGCACTAAGCTGCTAATCACAAGGTCTGTGTTTCAAACCCATCAATTGCTCCTTGGAAACCCTATACAGGATGGCTATGAAAAAGAGGAAGCATACTGTTACATTTCACTGTAGTTTTAAGCTGTAGTAATGGTAACTCTGGTAACATAGTGGTTACAAATCAGGCTGTGAACCTCAAGGTCAGCAGTTTGAAACTACCAGCAGTTCCGCAGGAGAAAGGTGAGGCATTCTGCTCCCGTAAAGATTTATAGCCTCGGAAACCCTGCTCAGGGTCACTATGAGTCGAAACTGACTCCACGCACATAACCACCACCACCAACACCATAGTAATGTCTCCAGATCCCAAGAAGTTGCAACTACAAACACCTACTCCTTGTTATGGAATAGTTAGGTTACAGGATGCCAATGGTCCAACCCAGCTCCACATCTCAGTACCAATTCAGCAGAAGCAGTCCCTATTCAGAACTCATCATTCTCAAAGCTGAGGGAAATGAATGAGAGATGACAATACATGTACAAAGCTAGTGCTCAGCCGTAGTGTTCTTCAGGTCTACTTACATCCCATTACTTAAAGAGGTTTCAGGGCCGAGCAAAACATCGGGATGGGCAATAGAATTTGCCTTCAAGGAGGAACTGTAAGTCCGGTGTAATGGATGAGATGTGGGCCCTTTTACAGGGAAGGGAAGAGCTGTCGACTGGTAACTGTAATATAACCAACCACAAAGTGCTATGGAGAAGCTAAAGAAGGGAAGGAACAGGCGTCAGGTGTGAGTGTAATGGGGATAGGAAACTAACTTAAAGGAGGTTTTAATGCTTTATTAGGATTATGTGTGCTCGAGATGGCTATTTACCAAAGATCCACTTCTTTGTCATCCTGGGCACACAAATTTTCCCTAGCTGCCATTTGAGTTAGGTGTGGCTGAGTTAGCGCTAGCTAATGGAATGGGAACAGAAGTGATGTGTGCCTTGTCTCCTGCCATATGAAATCAAAGGACCCTCAAGGCACTAAGGGATGCAGAATCATAGTAAGAAAAGCCACCATCTATTTTACATTGTGAGCAAGAAATATATTTGAGACATTTTGAGCTTGGTAGTAACTGCAGGCAAGTATATCCTTGATAAGATGGGGCTTCAAAAAGTTCATGGAAAATGGAATTAAAACATAATGGAATTCAATGAATTTCATGTTCATGTTTTTACCAAAAACATTCTCACGTGACAGGTACTTTATTTAAAACACTGTATCAGCATTAAAGGTGTTCCCATGCTCTCATGGCAGGTGCTTTATTTGACAACTCTATAGCAGGAGTCGTCATGTGGCACTGTGGGTGAATACACTAGACTGCAAAGCCATTTGAACTGCAAGGTTGGTGGTTCAAGCTCACCAGCTGCTCCTTGGAAACCCTATGCAGGGTCGCTATGGGTCAGAACTGACTCAAAGGCACTTCACAACAACAATAGCATAGTAGGATCAAAAGACATTTACAAGAGGATGTTAATCTGCTTTATAAAGACTTTCAGCTGTGTGGATCATAACCAATTATGAGTAACATTGTGAAGAATGGGAATTCCAGAACACATAATTATCCTTTTGTGCCTGACTTGCTTCACTCTATATAATGCTTTCAGGGTTCATCCTTGTCATAGAATGTATCAGGATTGCATCTCTCTTTATGGCCTGATAATACTTCATTGTATGGATTTTATTGCATCATCTGTGGGGCATTTCTTATGTTGCCACATTTTGGCTAGTGTGAAAAATGTTCAATGAACATTACGGTACAAGTTTACATTCCTATTTTCACTTTTAGATATATATCTAGAGTTTGGACTGTTGGGTCATATGGTTGTTCTATGTCCAACGGTCAAACTGTTTTCTATAGTAGCCATACCATTTTACATTTCCACAAGTAACACATGACAGTTCCAGTTTTTCCACAGCATATCCAACACCTGTTTTTTTTGTGTGTGTGTGTTTTATATCATTATTGTTTGTACTGGGGTGAGGGGGGTTGCGCTAACAGTATTAGCCATAAACCCAAAGCATCAATTCTTCTACGGTCTTCCTTATTCCCTGTCCAGCTTTCACATGATAACAATTAGTCACTATTAAATCATAAGAATCTTATCCCTATCTCCTTTTACCAGACCCATGTAGAAAAGATGAAAATTATTCAAAGGGGATTCTACCTTCACCTGCACACTCTGAAATTAAACTCCTCTTGAAAACTTGTAAGCCAGTCATTTTGTGCCTTTATAGCAACCCCAATTTTAGGTATTGCCCAGTAACTCATACTGCTGTTTTTCAGCAGCATGTCCTCTAGTTCACTGGAAACAATGGAGCCCAAACTAAGTCTCCAGGGATGCTGCTCACGCTGATAGAACAAGTTCTTTGTCTTTGTGGTATGTAAAGTTTTAGTCCAGAGAGTGTCATGCCATGTTCACCTTCCTGTCAACTTTCCAGGCTTTTTAAGATAATCTTTCCTCTAGTGTTGCCTTTCAGTATTGACCTTCCACAGCCAGCAGATTTCTACAACTTGAACTCTAAAACCCTCTGGACATACTTAGAATTTGCTTTAGTCTTGCATCTGTGTGATTATAGATTTTCTCATAGTAGATAATTTTGAGTAGGGTTTCTCAAACATTTAAATACAAGACTCCCTACAATAGAGTATATTGAAATTGCCAACAAGCACAGGAAAAGATGCTCAATGTTACCAGCCATTGTTGTTAAGTGCTGTCCAGCCGGTTCCAACTCATAGCGACCCTGTATAGTGGTTTGAACCACCGATCTTGTTTCTTAGCATATTCATGCAATTGATAATATTGTAAAGAACAAAACTTTTGAGCAAAGATAAAGCTCAGAGATTTAACTTCTTACTGCTCCCCATAGTATCACTTAAGTTCCCCCTACAAGATATTAGCCCATTGCTTCTAGAATTCTGTTTACTAGTAGAATCAGGAAACATTTAAAATTTTAATTACTAAAATAACAAACTTACTAGGCTTGTTCTCTTTCAACTGTGACATACTCATATATTAGTATAATGTGGTAAAACAAGTAAAATCAAACCTGAGGCTTTGACATTGTTTTGGCTATTTAACTTTATTGTAATTTAAAATCTGAAAACTGCAAAACATTATTTATAGAAACACCTGAGGAATGTTTAATTGGGTACAGCATCATCGTATAAACAATTTGAAAACAGACCAAGTTTAAGTTAGAATCTTATGCTATAAAATGTAAGGATTACATAGATGAAACCACCTTTTAAACCACATATACCTAGTAAATACTTACACTCATATATAAAGTACATTTGGTTTTCTAAAAAATAAATGTACATTCTTACCCCTGGTGTACATTTTCTTGGCATTTACAACAAATAGCTAATACTATTAGCACTGATTCTCATAGCTTCTGAATATTACAACAAAAGTTGTATAAACTATAACAAACATAAAAGCACCATTTCCCCTTCAAAGTTCTAACTTTTCAAAGAAAGCCCAAAGTGACAAACCAGAACTAACGTATCTTCCAAAATTTAGCATAAAAATGGCTCAGAACTAAACAAATTAATGAGAAACATTGCATAGGACAGAGAACTTCCCTGTATGGAAACCAATCTATTGATTGTTTCTTATCCCCTGAAGAGTATAAGCTGAGAGGTACTAGTGATAGCAAAAGATGCACTTTTTTTACAGAATAAAAATGTCTAACTATATACACAGACCATCATTACCTCTGTGGCAGTGCAAAGTGCCATTTTAAATTCAAAAACAAAAGATTTTACTTGCATGTATACCTACAGGTATAGAATAAAATATAAATATGGTACAGCATCATGAGAAATAAACACATACATTAAAATATATATCTTAAAAAAAAAAAACTCAACAAAGGTATTTTCATATAGAGATGTGTGCAATGAATGACTAGTTAAGTGTCCATGCTTTGCCAAAGTATGAAGTTTTAAAATCATAGGCATTTTATTAAAAAATTTAATCCAATTCTTTCCAAACTTGTAGTATAAATATTTCCTGCATAAAATGAACATTCTATCTCTTCTATAATTTTATCAAAAAACTGATAAGAACACTGTATGAAAGCTCATAAGCTTACTTTTTTTCTTCTCTTTAAATATGAACAATATAACATACAGAGAAATAACAGAAAGGGAAAATTTTTTTATATGGCTATTCCCATTCTGTAAACTAGTAAAACATGAACAAACATTGCATCACCAGACAGATAAAATATCTGAGAAAGAGAGATGATATCTATAGTTGCACCTTAAAATTCTCTTTTAAGGAAAAATTCTCATGGATTCCTTTATAGAAAATTTCAGGCCCTGATATTTTCCCTTTTGGAGTTTAGCTGTTTTGGTTCTATATATATATATATATATAAATTAACCAAAAGTTAAGGTTTTCCTCTATTTCCTAAAAAGAAGTGTATTTGTAAACTTTTCAATGAATAAACAAGAACAAAAAAAACACACAGAATGAACTGCCAACTTGAATATGTGATTCCAAACACATTAAATAGTTTTTAAGAAAACTGGACTATGACGTACTTTTGCAATTCTGAATATAGCATCTTTGTAAAGGAACCTTTAACAAACCAAAAATAGCTACAAGTACAGAAAAACTTTTAAAATTAAAGTTACCAGTACCACCTGAGAAAATGTCTAAACTACACTTACATAAACATATTTTTTTCAATGGTATTTTCCTTCTTTAAGTTTTTCAATGTAGTGACACAGTTTTAATGCTGGTCCCAGCTTAAGGCCCATATATTTCATTATCACATCACTCTTCAGTAGTAGAAGAGCCTTCCCATCAATTTCCTAGAGAGATAAAAAAATAATAAATTAATCTTTTGTCAAAATTTATGTTTTATGTCAGAACATGTAAAACAAACTACAGAACAGCTAGCTATACATCCTAATATATATCCTCTCAATATGGAACTGTTTCCTACAAATTATTAGGAATGTAACTTATAAAGGGAAACTCCACTGATAATTTATAACTTTAAAATCTTAAGAAGAAAGAAGCATAACCTAATATCTTAAAAAGCATCTTACAAGTCAAATCATATGATTATAAGTACTGTGTTTTGAACAAAATACTATGTATCTATGTAAAAAGAGTCAACACTATGAATGGTAGAAATAAATTTCTGATGCTCATTAACTTTCTTTGAAGGGAAAACGAGTTTGCCAACATCCATGCAAACTGTCACTGTAATGTACAGTGTTGTCTCTATGTTGAAAACTAATGTAAGTTGTCTGAAACTTATTAAATGTTAAAACAAATTACTGATTTTCTTACCATATTGAAAAGGGTTATGGGAAATATTGGATAACCAATTTAATTCATTAGAAAAATGATTAAAGTGTTACTTACAACAAGGCATCCTCCTGAAATTCTTACCTTAATTGACCAACTTATGCTGAAGCATTTGATTTTCACAAGTTTTGGTTTTAAAATAAAACTGCACTTATACTCATGAATCACTGTGTGAAAAAACCTGAAATCACTTAATTACTACCTTTATCAGATATCTGTATACTTTTTCTACCAAGTAAAACTAAGAAATTTTACTTCCTAAAATTTTAGCCCATCGTGGAGAAAAGTGGTCTGGTAAAAGGAAGGTATCATCCTCATAAACCATAAACAGCCATAGAAAGTTAACAGAACTGAGCCAAATGTAATCAGTGGCTGGGTTCATTGGGGAGCATAACAAGGATACTAAATTACAGCCTGTGGTCACTCCCTCCTGTTCACAGCACTGGGGCTGAATAGGGAAGTTGTTGTTGTTATTGTTAAGTGCCATCGAGTCGGTTCCGACCCATAGCGACCCTGTACAGGGTTTCCGAGGGTGTAAATCTTTACGGGAGTAGAAAGCCTCATCTTTCTCCCGTGGAGCAGCTGGTAGTTTCGAACCGCTGACCTTAAGGTTCGCAGCCCAATTCGTAACCACTACGCTACCAGAGCTCCTTGAATAGGGAAGTAGGGGCAGGAAAAATTGTATCTGTCATTACAAACGGGTTACTGAAAACCCTGAAGAGGGCAATGATTAAATCATCTGGGTGAAATAACCTTTTACATATATGGGAAAAGCAGTTGATAAGGTTCTCCCATCATCCATAATCCTCTGTACCAACTGAAAGGTCTGCACAGAAGTAATTTAAAGGCCTTAGAGCAGTAAAACCCCAACAAAAAGATAATTACATGTTGTCTGAAGCGATCCGCAAACAGGGCTGATGTCTTAGGATCTGTTTCTCTCATAAACTGAATGACTTCTTCCACAGACCAACTTGAAGGGTCCTTAAAGTAGCTTTGTTTCAGGGTACTTGGGTGAGTTCCAACTGTGTAACTTATAGCTTCAATGGGAGGGGAAAAAAAGACAAATCATACTTGACCTTACCATTATCCTGAAAGAAGAGATGTTAGGTATAGACTAGCTGTCTTATTCCTGGAACCTTCAGTTATGTAACCCAGAGAGGACCCACAACACCGAGTACAAAACTGAGTGAAAGTTAATGTAATGGTGGCCTGACCTTCCCCCAAAAAAGCAGTTTCAGCACGTTACCTTAAAGCTTTAAAGATCTTAAAACAGCCAGAACAATCCAAATCCTCTTTGGCCAAATGAACATACATAGAACAAAAGGTTTGTTTCTGGGTTAAATTTGGTTAATTTAACTAAGACACTCTTTAAGTATTTCAATGAATTTTTCTCAATCAAAATCAAATTAGATTTTTTTTTTCAAATTTCTACTCTGGTAGCGTAGTGGTTACGAATTGGGCTGTGAGCCTCAAGGTCAGCAGTTTGAAACTACCAGCTGTTCTGCAGGAGAAAGAGGAGGCTTTCTGCTCCTGTAAAGATTTACAGCCTCAGAAACCCTGTACAGGGTCACTATGAGTCGGAGCCGACTCCACGGCACATAACCACCAACCACCACCACGATGTATTTAATATGAATGTGTTTAGCATCATTTTACTCTTTAAATTCCTGTCTCTCATGTCCTAAAATCTTAAAGGAAACAAGATTATTTTCTACTTAGCTAGAGTCACAACTGTTACTTTGACATTATATTCAGTACCTCTCTCAAAGCTTAATTGCACTGTAATAGATATTTTGGTTGAAGGTTTAAAATTAGTGAACAAAAACAACTAAGACAAACAATTTAAGTGTTCATACCTTAAGAAGTTTTAGCTGCAAAATACCAACTGAGAGGGAAGGAGTCTTCGCATCAAGTATCAATCCTATCCCCTCTGTATACAGGGCTGATAGGGATGGGCAACTTAGACACTGGCTATCTAAAATGGGGGAGGGGGGCACTATAAAGGCATGAAGTGACTGGCTTACAAGTTTTCAAGAGGGGGTTTCGTTTCAGAGTGTGCAGGGGAAGGTAGAATCCCCACTGAATAGTTTCCCTCTTGTCTAGATGGGTCTGGTGAAAGGAGATGGGGATAAGATTCATATGATTTTAATAGTAATTGTTATCATGACTAATTGCGACTGTCACAACTGTAAAGGTAGAATTTTTAAACAAAATGGGGGGAGTAGTCAATCTTATATTCCAGGAACAGAGGACCCTATGATCATCAAGGGAGAAGTGCATGAGTGGTATGTGGGACCCTATCCAGAGAAGCAATAACACCAGCGATGAGGACATGGATAGGGCAGCTAAGGGCTCTAGAAAGAGAAAAGCTATGTGCTGGTGGCCAAGAGGCAGGCTTGCAGAATGTGCCCTTTGGTTGTTTAAATGATTACATATTCATGACTGTTTTTGTGTACATTCAACCTCCACCCCCCACCCGGAAAACCAGAGTAAACAGAAACAAATATTGTTGAATGATGATGCATGGAGGGGATTATAATCATCGCAATGAAATGATGAGTGTGAAACCGATGTTCTCTCATGTATACTATCAGTCAATTCATAATAAAACCTTTTTGAAAAAATTGTAGCTATGCTGTGTACTAACTTATGCTGAAATTTCTGTGTCCAAACAGCCTCAGAAACAGGGTCACAATGAGTCAAGACTGACTCCATGGCACATAACCACCACCAAGTACTGATTTATTTAATCGGAGCACTCTACTCCCTGAACTTAGTATATGATAGCTAAAGAGGTTTTTGTAATTACCTGGGAAGACTTGCTTCTGTAACTGCAACTGTTGTTGTTAACTGTAACTGTTGTTGTTAGGTGCCATTTGAATAAAACACAGCCTGGTCCTATGATAACCTCACAATCATTGCTAGGATTGAGCCCATTACTGCCGCCACTGTGCTAATTCATCTGGGGGTCTTCCACTTTATTTTTGGACCCTCCACAGCTCTGGTAGCGTAAACTCATAACCACAAGTTGGGCTGCTAACTACAAGGTCAGCAGTTCGATACTACCAGTGTTCCGTGGGAAAAGATGAGGCTTTCTGCTCCTGTAGAGATTTACAGCCTCGGAAACCCTATACAGGGTTGCTATGGGTCAGAACCGACTCGACGGCACATAACAACTTAACCAAGTATGATGTCCTTCTTCAGGGACTGGTCCCTCCTGATAATACGTCAGAAATATGATAGAAGCTAGTATGGCCAGACTTCATCTAAGACGCATCTGGCTGTGCTTATTCCACCACAGATTTGTTTGTTCTTCTTCTCCAACACCAGAACTCAAATGCATCAATTCTTCTAAAGTTTTCTTAATTCACTGTCAAGCTGTCACATGCATATGAGGGCTACTGAAAATACCATGGTTTGGGTAAGGCGTGCCTTAGTCCTCAAACTAACATCTTTGCTCTTGAACACTTTAAGGAGGATTTCCCTAATGCAATATGTCATTTGATTTCTTGACTGCTGCTTCCTTTACTGTTGATGGTTGATCCAAGCAAAATGAAGTGTTTTACAACTTCAATCTTTTCTTCATTTATCTTGATGCTATTTATTGGTCCAATTATGAGGATTTTTGTTTTGTTTACACTGAGGTGCAACCCATAGTGAAAGCTGTGGTTTTTGATCTTCATCAGTAAGTATTTTAAATCTTCTTCACTTTCAGCAAGTAAGGTTGTATCATCTATATATCACATGTTGTTAATGAGTCTTCCTCCAATCCTGATGCCACCTTCTTCATATAATCCAGGCTTGTCAAATTATTTTGCTCAGTATACAGACTGAATAAGTATGGTGAAAGAATACAAGACCTTCCACACACAGAGTGGATGGAGATGGGCAACTTGGACATTGGATACTCAAATGGGGAGGGGGGGACTACAAAGGCAAGAAGTGACTGGCTTA